CACACACACACACAGTTATGCGCTGCACATATGTAATATAGACACGCACGCGTACAACCGGCTTTAGCGAGAGTCTAGCGGCTAACTGATCGCGGAGAGCCTGCAAAGAAACTCGCGCTCACAACAGACAGACTCGAGCGTATTATACACACACGAGGAGGCCCGCGCCAACTCATAAGGAGTCCCATACACATGCCCGCTTGCTGCAAAACACAGAGAGAAAGACAGAGAGAGAGAAAGAGAGAGAGCGAAGGAGGCGCGAACGCCAAAGTGGGGGCCGCATATAATACATAACGTTAGGCAGCGTCGTCGCTGCGCACGAGCAGCTTTCTTGGCTACTTTGCGGCCTTTTTTTGCAAACACTCGCACACTCGCACATGTATTTATACTCGTAGAAGGGGGTGGATATGGACGTTAAGGCATAATGAATAGAGGGCCGCTTCTCTCTTTCTCTCTCACTCTTTCGTGGCGGCTAGCTCGTCTCGCCTTTTGCCTCGGTCGAGTTTCTACGATTGCGACGGACAAGCGCAAACTTTTCCCCAAAACATAATAAGCCCATTTACTCTTGATTAGTACGTCCTTGTCATTTTTTTCCTCGCTCTCGATAAACATTTTTTCCATGCTACTATCGGCACTAGTTCGAGTCCCAGTATTATTACCAGCTACGAAAGCCGCGCGCTGAAATTGCAAATTCGTAGTCCGAAACCGGTCTAGCTCCCGAGCCTATTAAAATCGCGCGTAGAATTTTAAGCTCTGCAGTGTTCCGCATAGGCGCGCTTAACTTTATCGATAAACTCGCAATTCGAAATAATCAATACCAGAAATTGCTGTGTCTGTATATCGAAAAATTCGCTCGAAAGTTTAATACATCGAAATCGACGATGCCCAGTCAGCTGAGAATGTAATTTTCTGCGCGCCCGCGTCTCTAACATAATTAACAAGTTGGCGAAGCGGCTGATACACCCACGTCATCAAGGTCGTATACGTGTTTTCGTGCTCAGCTCTCGATGCTTATCTCGTAGCAATACCCTCGAGAAAATATCGCCAATAGCTTTGGCTTTTTGATTTATCGTCGATAGTGCAGGTATATATATTACGGAGCCAATCGGCGCAGGGCTGCGACGGTCGCGTGAAATTAAAACTGCACGCGCGCACAGCATCTAATCTAATTTCCAGCGACTGCGAAATTTCTGCGTACATTACCAGTGCTAGTTGGAGCGCTCGCAATTTTTATTCCCTCTTGTTGCTGGATGCGCCGATAAACATCAAACGAAAGTAAACGCGCGGCTCGTTTTTTAGCCCCAAACTCGTCTCGTTCGCGCGGCGCGCATAAAAAATCCAACATCACGTGGCTGCATCGGTGTATCGGCCAGCGCGCACGTTTACACACGGCACATCGGAGAATTTATTTACACACATGGAGCTTATAAATTTTATAATGTATATACCTGGGTGGCCGGTGAACAGGCGCTCGGAGCACCGGAGGCTGCTGCGCACCGGCCAGCCTCGTGTGCATATTATATCCCTGCTCCGACTCGAACTGCAGTGCAGCGATGAGTCAACGCGCTCCGAGGCCCCAGCCCCGCACAGCAACATAACTGGTTTACATTGCCCGAGTGAACGCGAGCTCGCGCGCGTGCGAATATGATTGATAAAAATTGAAAGAGAACGAGATTTATGCGGCAAGTACGCGAGCGACGCATTGCCACGCACTGCAATAGATATATATGTACAGTTGTGAGCAAAAATTGCATTTCGTGCATTAATTTGCAGTGAGACGGAGAGGGAGAGATGAAAAATTGAAAACCGTGAGTAAGACAATAAAGTTATGCAGAATGCAATGCGTACGCAGGCTTCTCTCTCTCTCTCTCTCTCTCTCTCTTTCTCTCTCTATTACTTTCCATTGCTTCCAGTGCAAGCATGTATATATATGTGAGTGAATTTATGCGTGTTTGTGTGAGTATCCACGAGTATCCGCGCATGCTTCTCTTTTACTCTTTTCTCTCTGAGCTCGTGCGGGTGAAACGATGTACGTATGTGAGCTCACACACACACTTACTGACTCGCTACGTAGCTGCTCTTCCAGTCCAACGCTCGTAAGCGTGTTTCTGGGTCGACGAACTTTCCGTCAACGTCGTTTATATATACTCGCAAATGTGTATGTATCTGTACATACACAACGATATGTACACTACAGAGTCTGAGTGCCAAGCCACATTGGCTTTTCTCGACTTTAGCTATTTTCTTGGCTGCTGCAGCTTTTTTGCTTCCTTCTTCCTTTTCCAAAGATACCAAAGTTTTTCCATTTGATTGACTTTGTTTTCTCTATATCGTTCTCGCATACCGGAGACACTTCTCTTACAAACCTAATATAGACGTGTATTATATATTTTGTCGATTAGTTTTGAATATTACTCAATATTTGAGAGGTAAGCGTAAAAAAATTAGCTTCCTCTATTCGGTAAAAACATGTATTTTTATGAAAACATCGGCTCGAAATTTCATCCGCAAGTTCATCGATTTCAGTATTTTTTTAATCATTTTTGTAAAATCAGGATAAACTATTTTATCGGAAAATTCGAAACTTATTACATTTAATGTTATATTATTTTTCTGAACATACGAATTCTGTTAAGTTTGTTTAATTAAAGCTGCAAACAATATATCTATATTAAATAAGCTTGGAAAAGCTTTGAATCAACTAGAGGCTGGATATGTTTAAATTCTCCGTATTTTTTTAACGTTTTTCCTTCCATTATGTCATAAAAACATGTAAAGCTGTGTCACATGTGAAGCTTCCTGAAAAAAATTCACATCAGGAGTCTGATGCTGATGTATACAACGCACCCAGGATACACTTTTTATATATTAAATTCCGTCAAGCGGGTACTCGAGTGCGATTCTTTTTTTTCCCTCAAGGTTTATGTATTTCTACGAATGCTTTTATGTAATGTTATATTTTTTTTATAAAAGCTTTGCCACTTTTCAGAAAAATAAGTAAAATAATACCGCAATGGTGTAAAAAAGATTAACTTTTATACCGTTATTATTTAATTGTAGCTGCAAAAATGCTCGAAAAACAGCTACTGCAATGGACCTTTTTTTTCTTCTCTCAACGATCGATCTTCTCCAAGCAACACATATATGTATATAACATGCCTTTTTCTTCGTTTCTTTTAGGCATTTTTCACTCGTCGCAAAAAAACATTGTAATATTCGTTCGCACGAATATATATCGGAGCATGGCATAGCCTTCGCGCAGGTGGTCTACATCCGCTGGAACAACGCCAGGCGAGCAGGCAAACTCGTACACAGCTGCGAGTGTTCTGTATAGTATGGCGCAGGCGTTCAACGAAGAAGCCCACGACATACACACATTCACATGCACTACAATGCACACTCACACATACACAAGCAAGAGAAGAGGAGCTTTTTACCTAATTGTCCATTTCTCGATGCGGCCAAACGAAATCGTTCGGCATGAATTTTTTTCAGCGACTTTTTAATCTCGTTGGCTTGGTGAATGTCATTTGCTACTTTTATTCTGCATAATTGCCTCATACTTAGATAAAATGCCCGAGGTAGTACTTTAAGGACAACGATACATTAATTCAAGCTGAAATGAATAAACTTTGGAATGATCGCTCGTCAACGTGTGCAGTTAGTCGTAGTCGTCAAATTTTCGAGGTAAACTATTCAGTCTGTTATGAAGACTAGTTTGCGTGCTTAAAATGGATAACTCGTAGTTTAGTACACACACAAATGCCGAGATTTTCTTCGTGCATCTAAATGTCATTCCAGGCCCATGTACACGTCTTTCGGCGTAAATATACAGAGGAATCATTTAGAAATTTGGAAATAAGCAATAGTAGAAATTGAGCTTTTAAAGATATAAGCCAAAAGTATACTTAAATCACAGGTGTGTTCGCAAAATTTTACATCACAGGAAAAAATCTTATCTATTTTTCGATCATTCGATTTTTGCTGAGATTGACTCACAAGACAGATATTTTTATTGAAATTTGCTTTAACTTTAGAGAGTTTCGGATAAAAAAATAACTTTTATGTATGGACACATTCCTAAAATAAGTGAAGTTTCAAGAGTAACCTAAAAATCAATAATTCACAAATGTCGAACTTGGTAAAAGAAAAATACAAGCGCGGCACACACCTATTGCAGAAATTTTCTCGGCATTTCTTTCACGTTCGAAAGCATTCTAAATCAAATTTTCTCGAAAATAACCCGAACATTATAACATAACCATATCGTCGGCACGAGAACACGAGAAAAAATTTTATATCTTATAAGCGTGCGCACTAGGTGACATTACATTTTCTCCATCGTCGTACACAGAGGTACGGTAATCGTATATAAATGCTACATTATATATATATATATCGTATACATGGTCGATGGCCTCGGCGCAGTGGTCGGGCAAAGGCAGCGGTGGCAGCAGCAGTGGATGGCAGTTGTTCAATGAAGGCCTTTGTATGTGTGTATCGTCGTCAGCGAGTTTCCCAGCTCGGCGATATAGCGAGCGAGCGACGCAGCAGCAGCAGCAGCAGCAGCAGCAGCAGCAGCAGCAGCAGCAGCAGAGGGGCTTTAACGGCCAAGCTGCAAGCCAGCGATACCTACAACCATTGCACTGCGCCACAGCCTTCCATATAATCCTAAGCACGATTTTCCTCTTTGAACTTGCGAACTTCGAACCGCGCGCGCTACCTATCCTACAGCACATACGTGCGGAGTTTATAATGCGGAATCCCATATCCCGATACATATACAGGATGCAGAGCAACATCGTATCGAGATGTCAGCCGACGTGTGTGCGGGATACAGATACTCCGCGTATGGATTGGCCAAATACGTTCGAGGATATTGACTTGAATGTTGGATGAATGCTGTTATTTTCCTTTTTTTTAATTTTTTTTTTTTTTTTAATTCAAGTATTACAGAGGAAATCCATTGGTGCGAAATTCGAATATTTTTAATCCCCGGTTGTCGCAGCTGTATTCGCTATATACAGAGGCAGCAAATAACAGTGAAAAGCTGGTAAAAAAAAAAGAACAGAGATGTCGTGACGTGGTGACGCATTCTATCTCGTACAAACAACCCCGTTAGTTTTCGTCCACATAAAATTCCAAGTTTGGTTGCAGCTCAAAAATAGTAAAAAAAAACGCTGAAAAGCTCCAAGATGCCGGCGGCCGATTCTTACACGCTGTCACGCCCAAGGAGAAAGTCGTCGGCGAAAGCCGTGGGCCAAGTTATGACGGCGATGAAAAATATCAAAACCGCCGTGGGTCCCACGATGACGGAAATCGTGAAATTCATTTCTGGAGCTCTCTACGACCCCGTGACAAAGCGTCAGGTACATGCGACTCCTTTTTTTTTGCCCAACGCAATATCCAAGTGACCGACGATGAATATTACATTTCGATCAGTGCCAACGTTACAGCGCGTATACATAACACTAGGTTAACTTTTGAACGTAGTAATGATGCAGAAATAAATTTGCCTATCGTAAAACACACGACTACATGTGTGCTCGCGTTTGCAATGGCAAGCCGGTTAATATTTGCTCGTGCGGCAGAAAACGTTTGCTCGGGAAATTTTTTTTCCCTCATCGATCCACGAGCAAACGCAGATGAACGCACGGTTAGTCGAGAACCGAGCTCGGAGCAGTCTAATTACGCAATATAACCTGCCTTCCATTCGAATAAATATTTGCCGAGCGAGCTATTTGACGAATCGATCCATGCACTAATTCGCAGGTGGTGGCAGCTCTGAAGAGGGGAGTCGAGTTTGGCATTTTGAAGCGTCACCGCGGACACTATCTGATATCGTCGCCGGACGAGACTCTCGCCCCGTCGAGAAAAATAGCCGGAGGAGGCAAGGTACAGAAGAGGCGCTCGAGACCGTCGACCTCGACGACGCCACCGAACCGCTGTATCAGTCCCGACGACGAGTAGTGAAGAAAGCTCAACTTTTCGAGCCACTCATCTGGAGTCCATTTAAATTGCTCAAAGTGTATATTTAAAGTCCGAGTTTGTACGCGTCGATATTGAAGACTGTTTTTATTAAATCTGTGAAAAAAATGACTGCATTGGTCACGATGTGTATCGACTTTCAACGTCCTTCTAACGTCCGCACAGCCTGCAACACCAGCAATCGTATACATGCGTGCAAAAATTGTACGCGTAGAGTCGCGTCGGAGTAAGGCATTGCGCAACTCGTGTAACTTGGTGGATATCGTATGAGCGCTCGTGATCGATTACAGGGTTTCTAATATCGACGACAATAAAAGATCACGATGTAGGTCGGTGCCAGTCATCGGTGACTCAGAAACAATGGCATATTTGTACAAGCACGACAGAGACGTTATAAAACCTTTGCTCGAGCTTATTGTCTTCTTTCATTTCTTCTTAGCGAGTGAAAATTTTTCATCAACTTCTTATGATTTAAAGCAATACATCAAGCTCGGATAACTTGAAATACGATTTTTTTTCATTTTTCTTTATTTTACCCATATAAGATTGCTGCTCCGAGAGCTCCTGATAATAATCCAAACAATAATAATCCAAACAATTATAATTCATAGCTGCTGCAGCGAACAAAAATTTTCCGAACGATTGTTCAGCTTTCCAACCATTTATTTGCCTCTTAAGAACACTCCCCTATCTTTGTGCAGTTACCATCAAAGAGGTTCCTGCTGCTGGTGCAGCACAGAGTCAAACCGCGATAACATTTTCGCGCTTAACGAAGGCTTTTCTATTATGCATTAAAGCTCCGAAACGAGCAACAGCTGTTCACCACGAGCTCTTTGAATCTTCATTTTTCGGAACTAATGGATAACCGAGTGCACGCGTCATATATATAACGATTTCAGAATCGATGCTCTCGTTATGCGCCTGCAAAAGTTCCTTTCAAACTATATCATGGTAGGTTCAAAGCGAATCTTCTTTTTAACATGAGCCTGGAAATTTTTTTTTGCTAATTTAAACTCTAAATGGAATTTTAATCAAAATATAATTTCGAAAGTGGCAACGATAACTTGCCCCCGATGCTCTGCCGTTTCAAATTTGTAGCTAATTGAAAAACTGAAAAACAAAGACAATCGAATTAAGTATTAGCATTTTTGAGAAATTAAAAAATAAATTAAAAATTATAAACTCGTATTTTTTAATTATACGAAAGCTCGAAGCGTGAAAACGTCTTTTCAGTGGGCAAGTGTTGGGATTGCCTCTGCGTGGTGCCAGCACGTGAAGAAACTGAAAAATATGCACGTGCCTTCGGTTGAAAGCACATGAAAATTTTTCATCCTGTCTGCAAGTTCCCGAGCATTATAAAAGTTTAACCTTTTTCTTTCGGTGAGTCCGAGCAATTTAATTTACGCCTGACCATGTGCCGGGAAAACTCAAAAGCCCAATGAACGTCATTTAGTATTCATACTATGAGGATTTTAAAAAAACATGACAAATCACACGAGGCGTCGAAAAGATCGTTAAAATTATAATTGAGAGATTAAACTGAGCGCATCCTTTCCATTGCAATGTGGAATAATTAAGCAATTATATCGGGCGCTGCATTGCATGACCAGAAATTTAATAACGATACATCGCGCATGCTGCGCTCATCGTTACTTGCCATGTATTTTATCAATACGATTAGCGAATAATATAACGCAAAATTTATGAAGCACAGCATGCTCGCGCGTTGCGTGTATTTTGCCAAAGTGGAACGAGATAAAAGCTCATTGTGTGATTTATGTCTAACATTACGTGGGCCAGCGCCTCTCCCTTTTCTATTTCAATTTAAATTATTTCAAACGCGTGCTTATGGCTCGACAAAGTGTATTCAATGAAGCGAAATACTTTGCCCGATGTTCCACATAACGAAGCAACGTTTTTAAAGCTCTCGTCTGACCTATCTGGCGAGCGCCGAGCCAACGTTTGAGCTTCTTGGAAGCCGACAAGACTGCGCGCGATCGATAATTTTGTCTCGGTCTTACATACGAGACTGGCCCCACCGACTACTTACTTTAGAGCTTTGATATTTTTTCAAAAAATATTACGCCCACGTGTGCAAGCACGGCCTACGCCATAATGAACGACCCCCCATAGAATTTCATTCAAGACTCGCACGCGTTCAGCGTAATGCACGAAATTCAAATGTACATAATGTAATTTTATTACTCCGGGAAAGGCACATTAATATCCTTTTGTCACGAGGGCATTATGTGTTATAAAGCAACCCATACTTCGAACAAAGCTCCAAATACGAGTGGCTCCATTGTTCATTCACGAGAAGCTCATCTTTTTCGGGTAAAAAAGTTTGAAAGTTTTCGTATACTGCCGGATGGATAAAAGTTTTCCGCATTATGTAAGCTTGCATTAATATTGTATAATTCGAATATTTTGTAATCTTTGATCTTTTGTTTTTCTTATACCCAGTTCTTTTGCTTTTTCCGTCCACTTCGAATTATGCAATGACACTATTGTTTTTTTTACATTTCCTCTAAAACGATCAGTTACGCAAGTTGTACTTGAAAAATTTCATTGCCAATGTTATATTTTCCCATCAGCAGCTCATTTAAAGTACATTAAAAAATAAAGAGCACGAGTAATAAGCAAAGAAATGACAAAATACCTAGATGCTCTCGTATAGCTGTCAACGCAAAGTCGAAAAGTGTCCCACCGTAGCTTCTATTTTTGTTTTTCATCTTCATCGGACTCTTCTTCGCCTACGGTGCGTGAGCCCGAGAGTTCGTCTTTTAAAATATCCGCGTACATAGATCTGCGAGTCGAGGCGAGAGATTGAAAAAGCCCCGGTTGCATCTCTTCTCTCAGCCAGCTCATACATTTATGCAACTGATCGCAAAAGAAAAGAATTTGATTTCTTCTATTCCAATTGTAAGATATGTACATAGCTTGATATACGCGCGCAGCACGACAAAAGATAGAAAGAAAGAGAGAGCAAAAGGATTCGATTGAGTGGATTGAGATTGATGGATTAGGATCTGGTGGGATTTTAGCGCATGGTATAGATTTCCTATATATATACGTACATTTAGATATTGAAAAAAATGCCGAGGATATATGTTTCTGCCGCAATATTTCTACTCGTGTGTGCAAACATTTGCACTGAAACCACGAGATTCTCGCTCCCTTCCTTTTTCTTCTGTTTTAATATTGCACTTGATGTTTATACGAAAAGCTTCTCGTTTTGCCGCATACGCAGGTACACATACACAAAGAACTTTGAAAAATACCATATATCAGTCGTAAAAATATATGCAGGTGGATGAAAATTTCCATTCCCTACTGCTTCTTCGCTTTCTCTCTTATATACGCTTCACTCCTAACATACTTTTCCATTTAAATCACATTCGCTCGATAAAATTATCCGCGTGCAGTTTTTTCGCGCGATAAAACGTGCTCCCCTATATGCTCCGAGCTACGTCCATGTCTTATTATCATATGGCTTATAAATGAACATGCGTGTGTGCTCTCATACATCATTGTAAAATTCATTTTTACGTCCAGTTTTACTATTCAATTTTATTCCTATCTTTTTTCCACCATTTACTTCGATTATTGCTCGGGGTATTTGTGTGTGGGTTGATGTGCACGCACGTGAATACACAGCTGCAGCGATGGAGAAAAGTGAACGAATGAATGTGGATAGAGGAAAACTCGACATTGTGTTATACTGCATAGCGACTTTATAATCGAATTGAATACGTACGGCAAGGGTGATGATTTCAATTGGAAAAGGAGCCTATATGAGAAACTGCCGCATACAAACGTATATATACATTGTATACGTGCCCTCAATGAATTAGCTGATACTGAATTCAAAGACCGATTAGTTTTCTTGGAGTTAAAAAGAATTGATCGAGTAAAATTTTATTGCGATTGGTAAAATTGAATATTACTTTGGAAAGCTTGAACTCTGTTCAAGCGGTAAATAAACTCATAATTTCGGAAAATAAATATATAGCAAGCGTTCGAGTTTATCGATGATTACTCAAAGTCAAAGGCGATTCAACGCACACACTCGCTTACTGGCTGAAAGCTTCAATTTCAAAAGTCGAAATCGAAGAAATACGGCAAAAGTACGCGACGGCAATGAACGGGAAAATATTTCATCGGAAAATAAAAATCGACAAATTGTCATTGGAAAGAAATTTTGCGCGCGAGAAAAAAGCAGCCCCCAGCCATTGTCCTTAATTCCATTCAACACTTTTGTTCTGCTGAAAAACGCCTTTTTATTTTAAGCCTAGACTGCAAAGCTCGGATTCTCTTTTTGCGTGACATAAAACTTCTCTCTCTCTCTCTCTCTCCAGGCGTGTGCTCGCATACACTTGACATTTGCAGTATGTGCAGAACTCGAAGGTTTTCACGCGTGACACACACATACGTATGCACAGACATATGCATATTGTATATTTCACTTGCAGCATGAGCTTTGTTCCATGAGTCAAAATAAAGCAAACTCTTTGTGCACGTATACACGTTCATAACATAATTCTCGCCATTTGTTTATTAATTCGACTTTTTTCATAAATTATCAGTGTTATATATTTATTTGAACTAATTTCTCAACAGGTATTGGTGAAGCAGGGACGATATTCAATCGGTTTTATCAATATTGATGTTCGAACACGAACGTAAGAAAATGATAAGACTACGCCTGCGCTTCATTTTATTGAACCACCAACGTTTCTGGTAGAGCATGCACATAATTTTCCGACAACAATAGTTGGCGTGTCTCATGAAAAAAGTTGGTATAAACGTGACTTGTTGCAGTCGCGCGCGTAATACGTGCTTTACGAGACTATACAACTCGGCCATGCACCTGACCTTGCTAATGTAACGACGCGATAATTGACATCAATGCTGATTTATAATTGATTTTGCGCGAAGATCTCATAGCCCACTTGCTAATTTGCTTCGTTATATCGTGCATA